TTGATTTGAACAGGATTCATTACTCAGGGTGTGATGAAATATTTATCCCGAGCAACTTCATTCAATTTCGTCAGCTTGTAAATGTACAGAAGACAAATGTGATTTACATATGTTTCTGAACTCGTGTCTCATTATGGCATTATGGCAAATTACATATAATTGCATTAGACAGGAAGACAATTATCGCCTCCACTAGGGTTCTGTTCTTTTGCAGCTGGTCTCAGCTCCCTGTGTCAGTACGTCCAATATCCAAGTGGTTCCAAGCAGACTCGCTATCAGCTCAGATCAGGTGGTGATTGCAAGAAAAGAACATGTTTTCTGAGGTGAGATAGAGTGTGTGAACTGTGAAGTGCAGGTAAAGATGAAATGTATTGCTGCTCTTCACAACCGCCGCTGCTCATTGGGTGGTGTTTGTAGTCTCTCTGTTAGGGTCTGTTCAGGTTGACCACATTATGAGTTGAGTTGAATTGTCCTTCTGGATCAGGGCTGGCTATCCTATGATTAATGTGACTTTTTTGAAGAAAGACTTTTTTTTGAATGACGGGTTTTCCAAGGGGACTATTTCAGATCAGGACAAATATCACTAATGTGGTCATCTTAATTTGAAAAGTTCCTGACCTGGAAGCAACCAGCCTTATGTAGATGTTCTCCCACTACATGCTTCAAATTGCTAAGTACTACTGAGTGCATCAGAGTGTAAATGTACTGTATGTGTCTGGTTATTTGTCTCGCCCCAATGAGTGACTATCCCTTAATGCTGCCGTTTTCCCCAATTTCAATTTGCACCCCCATATAGCTCATGCGATGTGTGTGTATACTCTGTGTGTGTGTGGCAATTCATGTGACAGGGGCAAAAATATACTGCCTATTATCACTGCCCCACCACCCTTCACACATTCACATCCTCTACTCTACTACTGTCATTTGATTTGAGAGTGTGTGTGTGTGTGTGTGTGTGTGTGTGTGTGTGTGTGTGTGTGTGTATCCATATGTCTCTATGAGTTATCTTATTACTGTACATATAAGAGCACAAAGGACTAAATTGAACATGGACTACAAATAAAAATAATAGAACAGTACAAGAAACAGTTCAGACTGATTTGAAAATTAAATTGAGAGGCTGATATGCATTTAAAAATCTAGAGGATGTAAAGTGCTCTCAAAAAGAATGTAACTAGCCTGCCTCCACTGCATTCACAAGAAGAAAATTATTAAATGAAAAAAGATGAAAACATGTACTTTATCTGTTGGCTGGATTCTTAAACAAAGTGACACTGCAATCACGTTGTAATGGAATTGTTCTCAGCCGAAACATTCACATTAACACATGTAACTTTATCACACAAATGCATGCTTACATGACATATTGTTCTGTAATTTCATTGCAGCCATTTGCAAAATTCATTCCCGTGGTCCACTTCAAGAGGCTTAGCAAAGTGAGATCAATTTAAAAGAAAACATATGCAAAACCTTCCTAAATCACTATCATTTGATACTGAAACACTACCTGTGATGGATCTTATAATTCATCTAAATCATCTAATATTTCACTTTGAGCTGCCTCTGCAAGAATGGGGGGGGGGGGGGGGGGGGGGGGGCAATGGAGGTGTGAGAGGAAGAAGGGTGCACTATGGGATAAGACTTGCATCTGCATATCAAAGACGGCATGAAGGGATGTGGAGAAAATTATGGTAATATCAGCTGTAACATATTGCTATAAATATATATTGTATATCAGGAGTGTGAAGTATAATCTTATGGGAGTGAGTCATTCAGAAGACAAAGCTATTGTTCTTTTGACAAAAGACACAGAGGATTTGATGAGCAGAATGAGTACTTTGGTGAGATGACATGCAGTAATACACATGTTTAATTAGAGGCACAGGGAGTCAAGTATTATACTCCTGGGCGCTTAGCTTGTCTGGTTAGACTTAGAATGATGAATAGCTCAAGAAAAATGTGACTGTCAAAATGCTAACTGAAATACATTTGATCAGGCTCATAATACAAAGATGGGAACACAGTGGTGATGCATACGAAATGGTAACCAATAAACAAAGTGTCTCTCCCCCAATTTGATGCTTAGTTCCATCACAGATTCAGAGAGTAACTTCTCTCTTTTTTTCTCCCCTTTGTTTGCCTGCCCTCTCCAATAACTGCTGAACTCTGGGTCGGTTTGCATAAATGCTTTTTGGGCTTCGTTTCAGACGCACTCTGCACCTAGAGATTCATGTGTTATTTATCCAAAGAGGCACATCAGCTTGGAAGTGCACTTTGCCTGTCCTCTGCATGTAATCAGTGAAGTGTGACTCCAACTGCGGGGAACATGGTAAGTGTGGTTGAGAATGCATCTCGCAATTAGCATTTCTAGCTTCCAGGATCAGGTGCAAATAGAACAGGTGTAATAAAATGAAGGTTGAGGTGGGGAAGAGTTCCAATGTTGTGTATTTTACAGAAATCTGATGTGTTTTCTTAGATTGGTGATCTAGGACATATCCAACCACTGGACTGCATCGTTTGAGTTGTTATATACAATGTATGTCCATCACAGAGCTAAAGAAAATAGTAACTTCTGGTTATAATACACCCCTTTTTATCATCTTTTTAAACTCTGAATCTTACAGCAGAAGATGAAGGTCTTTGGCAAAGTGTGGAAGGAACCAGAGAGATGCTGTGGTCTTTTGGGTCAAAAACATCTATGTCAATTAACTGATTCAGGATCTTTTTTCCCCAAGTGTGCCATGTACTACTCTGTGTTCTTTTTCCCCCATATAAAGATCCTCAGATCTTCCATTACTTGTCTAGTGTGTCTCAGCGCTGCCATACTGTTTTACTAGTTTAAACCTGTCGCGTTTATAACCCCAGCGGAGCCCTGGCTTGAGTGCAAATCTCTTTAGTGGCCATGGTTTGATGTAATCCAGTGTGGAGTAGGAGTCTGGTGGCAGAAGACCCACTGTGCTCTCCACTGCTTGAGGGCAAATAGATCAGGACTGACTGCTTCCCCTGGTATGAAATCCTCAAACTGTTCCTTTGTTTTATCTGTCAAACTGTGCCATGTATGGTGTTTTAAAAGGGGAGTCCCCAACTGGTTTAGCCCCTTGAACTTTCAGGGAACATGAGGCTCACATATTAGGCTGTAGACATGTCAGTCATTCCTACAAATTCTCTTAAGATGGATTTGAGGCCCCTTCCAGCTCATGGCTCTTTACATGATCAAAGTTAGTATTATAGTTCTTTGTTTCAGTCATAGCCCAAAACTCTTCCACCTTGTAGTTTTTCCATTACACACCACAGACAAGTAAGAGAGGTCAAACAATGCAACCTTTACCACCCGGTGCTCTATGCTCTGCTACATGCTTCTCTCTAATGACTGGGGGAAAAAAACACATTTGTATCAGTGTTCCCTCCTTATGCAAACGCTATTTATTGTATTACATTATCTATTTTTATCAGCTATCTTTTAAAAATAAATCTCTCTAGACAATACATGCAGCCAAAGGAATAAAGGACACTTCACACTTAGTTCAGGGCGCCTGCATCCCAAAGGCATTTTCAAGGACAGATACAGACGCAGTTGTTTACTAGTGTATATCCCAAATAAATTCAACTTAATGTCATTTAGAACTACTTCATCTGAAAGACGTTGGTAATAAGGATAAAATAACATTACCACAGAAGTGCCCTTTTCTGTGGATTACTAACATTAAATGCTGACTTCTTTGAGGAATTATGTGAACTTACAGTGCCTGAATTATAGTACACTTCTGAGAGAAGACTTAATAAAAGCAGCTTTCCAATGGATTCAAATAGTGATCTTACATCACTCACATTACACTTTCTTGAGGCTACTTTGAATGAAAAATGTGGACTTAAAAGTCATGGTGCAGCACTATTGACTAGAAATCATTTACTAATGGCCTTTCTGTGCATTCTCTATAATATATAATTTGATTACACCCAAAAAAGTCTCCAACTATTCAAATTACTTATTTCATGACCATCAACACATCTCAGGAAACTGGAAATTGTTCTCTGTTTCCATGAAGGAATCCAGTGTGCCATGTATGCTGGAGAAATCCAGATTCATAACAGTACACCTTACAAAGGCCCTGAGGACATACAGCAGACATATCATGCGGCTGTATGTTTAGCCAAGTGCAACTATTGTGGCCCATAGGGCAGAACAGATGAAAAGCCTTTCATGGTCACTTGAAATACCATGTTGGTATATACTACGTGTGTGTGTGTGAAAGTGTGAGTGCGTGCGAGAGAGTGATAGAGAGTGAGAGAGAGTGATAGAGAGTGAGAGAGTGTGAGTAAATAAAAGACAGAAAGCAGATACAGGCTGAGCGTATTTTTCTGTGTATACTGTATTCGTGCATAGATAGACCCTCATCATCTCACTGTGATTACAGGAGCATTTCACCACAAACAGCATGTGACTTATCAGAGTGAGCCAGGTTTTCAGAGGGTTGACAGTTTAGGGAGAACTGCCATGGGATAAGTCCCAATCCTCACTCTCTCTCACACACACAAACACACACACAAATCTGTGTTTGCACCCCAACGGCAAACCCTGACTACTGATTCTCAGAGCTGCTCCGCTGAGATCTCAAGCCTTTCTATCTCTCCTACAACCCAAAAAACTGATAAAAGACGACCGTTACTCCTGATGATGTGTCCTCGGAGACACAGGGAAATGTAAACAGCTAAGATGTGAAACAACAGGTCACAAGGGAAGATTGTTAGTGTAATTGACACCAGTAGATGGAAATAATAAAACAATGCTTTTCAAAATAGAGATGAAAAGAAAACAGAATAGAAGGAAAAATTATTTATAGGATAAGACAAGATTCTAAATACGATTAAAGAGAAGGAAAGAGCACTATAATGTACAATGTATCAATAAGAAAATATATTTTTTTTATGGAAATAATTTCTTCATGGAATTCTGACGATGAGCATTTGAGTGTAAATGTGTGTACTTGTACACTAGTTACCGGAAGGTCATTTGGAATATCTGTCCCAAGTTGACTTGCTGGGTTTTGTTGTGGTATCCATGCAGCATCTCACCAAACAGGGTGTCATTGAAGCGGACATCCTGTCTTGGGCATTTAGGTCCTTCACAGTTGTCTGACTGCAAAAGGCAGGAACGCCCATCCCCTGCCAGTTTGTACTCCTGCACACACCTGAGGAAGAGGGAAAAGCTGTGAACATAATGTATAATATGTAATAAACCCATTTACACTTGAAGTGAAAGGATACATATGTGTACAGTTTCTGGCAAGAACATGAGAAGATGAATTGTGGCATACATGTTGCAGGTTGATGATACAGCAAAATGCACAAAAAAACCCACAAGAGATCTGGATGACTGACACTGTAAGAACCCATAAAATGATGATCCCATTTTAGGTAGGTACATTATATTTGTCTCAATACAACAAGTTATATAGTGGAATTGAGTTTTGTAAGTCCCTTCTGTTACATAGCAGACAATATAAATTAATACAGAAGCAATTGTAAAAATGCAAACAGAAATAAAATATTATCAATGGAGTAGTGCTGAGGATGAATTTGAGCTTAAAAGTCTGATAGCTTGGGAGGAAAAAGCTGCTTTGCAGTCTGGTGGTGTGGCAGCAGAAACTTCTATATCTCTTCCCAGAAGGCAGCAGGGTGAACGGGCTGTGGCTGGGGTGGGTACTGTCCTTTAGTATCCGTTGGACTCTGCGTAGGCACCTTACCCTCACCAATATCACTGAGGCTCGGGAGATGGGTACCAATAATCTTCTGAGCAGTTCTAATCACCCACTGCAGAGCCCTCTGATCCTGGGCCGTCCCATCCCACTACTTTCATCCTCAAATTGCAAATGTAGAACTAACAAGCAAATATCTTTGCCCTTTTCTTTGACCATCCTGCCACCTGTAGACCACTTACCACCCAACTAAATACACACTATCACACAGTCAGAATATATCCGGGCTGTGCACAAGTATTAATGCAAGGTTGATACTTTATAATAAAAATAAAAAAACAATTTGGCTAAATGTTGTAACTTTGGCCAAAATGTCTTTCACATTAGCGAAGCAGTGCACTTGCCATTTTCATTGTGGAGATTGTGGACACAAGCACTCTGCTGAAAACAAATTCCAATAGAACAGAATCCAGCAGACCGTGCAAGTAGTCTCAGTTCTCATATTTCCTCTGTCTATCTGCACAATCCTCCCTTACAGATGAGGTTGAGTATCTGATGCTGTTGGCTGGAGCTGAGGTCTGCGCTCATGCGATTGATCAGGTCTCAGCGCCTCAGTGGGAAAGAGGACTCTGCCACTCTTGGCAACACTGTCCTGAAAATGCAGCAGACCTGGTGGAGCAGTGTCTTCCCGTGGCATGAAGGCAAAGCCCTTTCCCTTTCTATAAATGTTGGCATCGGGGAAAGTGGACATTGATGCAAATTGCGTTTTGATGTTTATCAGTTCATACGTGCCTAATATTCTGGAAGAAATTATGCCATCCCACACTGTGGACCTGACATATCTCAAGGAGAATTTGGATATCCTTCACCTCTCAGCCTGCTCCCTCTGTTAAGCTCCCACTTTCCAGAAACCCAAATGTCATCAGGAACTTCACTTAGACAAGTATTCATAGTTTTCTTTGCATTAGTCATTTCAGCACTGGCCTCACAATGGCATATGAAATTAGCAACTTTCAGGGATCAATGTTACTAGATCATCATTTGGTTATCAGATCAGTATCTCCCAATTGGCCAACCTCTTTTCTACACTACAGCCTTGAACTAAAAATCCCCTCTGTAACAATGGCTGCTTCAGTTGTTTTTATTTTTATATTTAAGTTCCCCCCTGTCCCGGTCTCCAGCCACTTCTCACTTTCCCTAGGCCCATGCATTTCTTAGGAACTCTCGGGGCCTGCCATTCTCCATCAATCCACCAGATGCCCTCTGACTTTCTCAACTGTTCCAGTCCCCTGACTCCTAACATCCACTTGCTCAATTGTTCCTCATTCCCCATTTACCTCCCACAGTATTCATACCTGCCCGTCTCCAACTGAAACCTGGAACTTGAACTGGAATCCTGCACCTTTTTCTTGCCCCATTCCTGTTAACCTGTGGATTCTTAGTCACATCTGTTTGGACTTGCACCTCATGCCATTAAGCTTATGTGTTATCATTTTGTCAATCAAATCACTAAACAATTCCAGCCTGATGGGTCCTTTTCAATGTTGTCTCGTACACACCCGATTGACATCCACAAAGATCACAGATGTTAGAAAGTGTGCTGCAGTAGTAGCAGAACAATCAGACAGTACAGTTAGCCAGTATGCAGAAGTTTCCTGTCAAGGGATTTCTGCTGTGAAAGCAAATAATACAAACATGCCATTGAGCCATCTTACTTGGTGTATAAGTGTAGAGTTGATATAACAGTGTCGAACATGATTTCTTGCCACACAGGCCCCTTAGTAAAATATTTGGAACTGTTGGAATGCCATAGTGTAAAGCAGTTGGTGACCAGGTGCGTGGCCCTTTTTTCAAATGGAAACTTCCTGTAAATTACTATGCCATGTGACACAATCTAGTTCTAGGGATCAAAAACTGTATCAGCTCAGAGGAAATGACATGAGGAAAAAGGTGCTGAACAAATATATCACTGAATAATGTGCAGGAGTAACGCATGGAAAATTCAAGTAATTCTGCAGAAAAATCATATCCAGTAGATATACTTTAACTACTAATGTAGATACTTCTTGTATTTTTTTCTATTTAAACTGTATACATGAATATATCAAATGATTTATAAAAGCTTGCCATCAGAGTTGGCCTGAAAATACAGCAAGATTGTGACCTGTGGACTAAATGATATTGTAAAACACTTCCTGAAAAGGATGCATATGCACATTAAAACCATCCATTTGTTTTGTAATTTTCTGCAAGAATTCTCATCACATACAGAAATTATTTGGTAATTATAAAGTCACTGGTTCTTATTTACCTTTCTATCTCACTTTACTTCCTTAATTTGCCTGAGGAAGAATTTCTTGATTGAGATTTCACTCATGAAGCCTAGTTTATGAAGAAGCTTTTACATTTTTTTCCCTGTTGGTTATTCTCACCCACAAAACATGAGCACATTGCTGGAACTGGGGTCATCTTCGAGGGGCACGAGCTGCTGGAGACACAGCTGTTCACAGCCTCCATTGAAACCATCCGTGCAGTCAATGCCCCTGGAGTAGTCATAGCAACCTGAGCCATCCTTCATTGGCCTCAGCCCCACAGGACACTGCAAGAAAAGAGAGAAAGGAGAGGTGGTGGTGGTGGTAGGGAGATGGAGAGAAAGGCATAAATTAGGGAGAGAGAAGATTAAGGCGCAGAGGTCAGCGTGTGCATTTTAATCGCGATCAAGCAGCACTGAGGAGGCAAAGACGGGAAAGAGGAGGATGTGGAGAACTGGGATTCAAAAGAAGAACTGCAAATGGTGACTACGTTATTTGATAGGATACATAAGACATAGAGGTCCCCTGGTGAAGCTCCATCCTGACAGATGGAAAAGAGTGGCAGGAGACTCCTTTTATTTTTCGTAGGAGATGATTTTCATGGATGTCTATACCCTTCACAGGCCAACAAGGAGTGCAAGCAAGGATAATGAATTTAGTGTATAGGGAGTTGTACGTTCCAGATAAAAGGGGAAAGAATTATATTAAAAGGGTAGTAAAAGAAGGGTGTTTAAAAAAATGGGGACTTTAAAGAACAGAAATCTCAATTTTATGCTCGCAACCTTGAAATGACATTGGGGCACATTGAGACTTCAGACTTATCAGTATTGGTGAAGGCTGGGTTAATTAAAAGCTGTAAGCATCAAGTTACTGACATCAACAGCCTTAATCACAAGGAAATATTTTGTTTTTTAGAGTTTCAGTTAGAGTTCAGATTTAGTTTAACCTTCAGTTTAGCATCAATACCCAGTAACCTCCACACAAAACAAATCAAAGTACATTCACCTGGGCACCATAGACAGAATCTGAAGGGGAACACTGGGTCCAATATTTTAACTTCAGATTGGCTAATTAATATTAAGTTAAAATAATTAAGTTTTTTTATTTAATGAATTATTTCCTCCAGCATAAGAAATACTAATTAAGCATAAGGGCAACAACAGATGCATTCTATAACAAAGCTGGACTCCATTAAAATGGCATTTTACTTACCATCAATAACTTGTAGACTCAATAGCCTACTGTTAATGATTTGGGTTGCATTGTACATCTCGGATGTAAACAAAAGATTACAAAAATGAACCAGAGAGGTACATTTGATTAACTTTTCTGCTGGCTAAGCTTATGTGTTTGAGGCAAGCAAAAATGCTGATGGGACACTATTGTCATGTTAAAAATCCAGAGGACTAACTTCACTAAGTTTACCATGTTATATTAAGATAAGATAATTTAATGGTTTTATAAGCAATTAGAATAGGCTCTTTGTGACTTAGAGTTAAATATTAACACGGTTTAAATACGTTATTGCTATATTATTTTTAAATGTTCCTTTAGTAAGCCATGGTCTTTCTTTGTTACAAGTGACTGAGTTTACTTACTAAGTAACACACCTTTTTTATTGTAGGTAAAAATATTTGAAAAGAGAAAAAAGCTTTGTGCACAGTGTGTACTGCTGGGCTGGAGATACTGGCAATTGTAAGATGAAAGAACAAAAAAGAACAAATAAAATGAACCATGAATGTTTGTGGTAGAGACAGCACGCTTAACCCATAAAACACAACGTGTTTCAATCTGTTCTTCATCAGACTCATCTAGTGAGTTATAGTATTTTTGCCATTTGGTGTTGGTATGATATTATAGGTACTGTTGTTTTACGTAATAACAGTATCATGCACTAAACTTCAATAAAACAGTTGAATAAAAGAAAAAGGAGAGAAAGCTATGTACAAAGAAGTAGTATATGTAAATTTTGACCCTAGTCAGAGTATCTGAGTTTCACATGTTTGGGAACGTGTCTTTGCTGTGACGTGATGTTATATACTGTATCCTACTGAGTGATTATATGCTGGAAAAATGCACTTATATACTGTACCACTCACTTGGATGGTAGAGTTGGCTGCAGATACAGTAATACATACTATGAACAGTTTATTTTGATTATGGAAAAATGGTCACATGTGACTATTTGACATGTTTTGCCTGCTGGGGCTAGAATCAAACGATCAATCTACACTCTCACTCAGCCACATGCTGAAAATGTGTTGGTTCCAACAATCAACATCACTTTTCTCAGAGCTTCAACTAATGCTGTAATTTCTTTTTGGTGGTGTCTTTGTGTTTATTGATGTAACAGTTCTGTTGGTTTAAAATGAAGACCGTAAGACACTGAGATTATTTCACAGTTTGTAGAGCACTTTCACTGACGGCCACTGTGACTCATCTGTGATTCCTCATTTCCTGTGTGGGATTGGTTGTAGGTGTGTGAGGCATGATGACATCTTGTAAAACGTTGCCTGTAGGTTTTGGTGTATTTCTGAAAATGAAGCAGGCCTACACTTAAACCAGTGTGTTTTAAATACTTGACTTGAATACCCTTGCTGTCGGTGGTCAAATGCCTTCAGATATATCAATTATAGGGAATCACGTGTCTTGCTATTTATGAAAAGCTGACTAACATACCTTAAACTTATTCACTGAATTTGGGGTCATCAGGTTAGAGGGGTAATTACAGGGCGGCGGTGTGCGTACACTATATGTATATTTAATCACTGTGGTCTATACAGTATATAAGGTATGCGCACACTAAAGCACTTGCTGCACCAGCTGCTGGCTTTATATTTGCGGATTGTTAATATCTGCAGTTTGAACATGCCAAGCATTTTACTGTGTGCCTTAACAGAAATAAATAGTTTTAATAGTAAACATGTCAAATATCACATGTTGTCATAGCATTGTTTTGAATGTACAGAATGAACAGTGGTTAAATCCTCTTTTAACAACAGAACTCAAGCAATGGATGTTGAATGTCAGTACATCTTGTTCTGCAAGGTCCGTGAGATAAGCAGTAAACATGATTATGATTTTCCTTTGTAATAAACTTCGGGTCACAAAAGCAATTAAAGGCCTCATTTGGTGGAGTTTAATGAAAGATTATGTAATGCAGGACAGGGAAATTTAGGAGGGAAATCAAATTGGGGAGAAAAAAACAAGTGAAAAGAGGACCAAGCCAGAGCTAAACCATGTGTGAGATATTTGGAAAAGCATTTACGTATTACTGAGGCCATGATAAAAGAAGTATGGATGTTAGCCTAAATGTTGTTGGTTCTAATACATAGTTAGCTGTTTCATTCACCACTTTAAAAGCTACATGAGTTAAGGAGGAAAACATTTTTGTAAAATTTTAAATACTGTGGCACAAATTGTCTGCCACAAATTGTAAGAATAGCTCTGAACTCAATTATAATCTGTTGCTGGGTGCTTAATATTTGTGTGCAATGTTTTCTTATGCTTTCTCCACTTATTTTGGTAGCCTCTCATCGGCAATGAAACTTCAAACTGGCAAGCGCACCACTGCTAAATGTGAAACCTCAAAAGCAATGAATGCCCTCGTAGCAACAGCTGCTCTCCAGTTACCAAGGCTTTTGCGAAAGTCATCAAGCAATACGATTCTAATGCAGGCACGGAACAAACTGGAGAAAGAACAGACAGATGAGCTGAAGACAACGCCTTAAGCTTACTAAAATATGTGTTTCGTCATTTGGAAGACCCTGCCCACATACTCACATCAGGCTTCAATTTATAGACGTTTCCCCCCAAAAGGATGAGTTTTTTCTCTCTATTTTATACACTAACAACTGCCAGAGCAATTATGGAAACTGATATATGCTGTTATAAGTCTTTAGTTTTGCCCCAAAGTTATTTGATTATCGACGGCATGATTTATAATCCACCACCAGTAGTGACTCAACTAACAGTAATCAAGGGGCTCTTTTCTTCTTCATAATTAGCCTTCTCATAATGGCAAGATCGTATTATCAAATTAAGAGCACTATCTCATAAGATTGAATGCTGTGGAAATGTTTAAATTAGCATTTTTTGATCTCTTAGAAGAACCGCTCCCAAACACACACAAAAAAGATAAATGTGCAGTAAACGTTAAGCATTGTTCACACGTGTGTTCTGGACAAATTCCCATATGTTCACAATTCAGTGAAAAAGCTCCCAAGCCTCAGATCCATTTACTGTATCTCATGAATGTAATGCGAACTTCCTCACCAGGACGAGATTGGAGCCATTCATCACACAGAGGAAGAGCTGTGGGAATAGCTGTCGCAATTCAGAATTGTCATGCAGCACTGAACGGTTGAATAAAAGGACTTAAGGTTAGACATTAGCGCTGCCCAATAGCTATTTGCTCTTTCTGCTCGGACAACTCTCCAAAGACACAAGAGCTGAGGAGGGAGAGGATTTGCATTTCAGATAAATTCTTTCAGTCAGTTCTTCTGTAGTGATTCTGCGAAAGCAGCACAATAAGAACTGGCCAAGAGATCTGCTACAGCCTTTTGGAACACTTGTCTAAGTAACACAGAAAATACTTTTCTCTCTGAGATGTTGTTACTATAATTACCGGCTTGGCAGCAGATCACTAATTTAAAATACATTCAAAAACCTAAGATCCTGGCAATTGAGTAATTACTTATTATTGAATATATTAAATATTTAAAAGACGCAGCTAAAAAGCCACATTAGTGGTAAGTGTGGGTGTGAGTTTGTGCTTAAGTTCAATCAAATATAATCGATAGCTTCAGTTACTAGATTACATTTGATTGATTGCATGTTCACATATTCTTCTCTCTCTTTTACACCTGTATGTCTGCTTTATCCCTGAGTGTAGGAATATGGCGGCAGCATAAAACACTAAGTGTTGACTATGTATGTGTTCTCTAGGGGCAATTACAAACAGGAATTTTATGACACCATTAAGTACCAGAGTGATGGTAGTTCAATCCTGTTTCTATGTAGCAGATTACAAATATAAGGTAAGCAGGTTCGAAGAAATCAAAGAAAAATGAAAAAAGTATGCATGAAATAGAAAAGCATGTCATCTCCCAACAAATTATATACTGCATATAGATCACTGCCACAAATTAAAGTTCACACATCCTGAATGAATGTTGTTCATTTTCCTAATTACCCATTAGTGTTCCCAGCTTTAATCAGGAACTGAGCATAATGTATTGAAAACTCTCTCTTAATGATCTTGTCAAAATTAGGATGCCAGATGTTC